GCCGAGTCTGTCCAGCTTCCTCCCCCGCCATTGGATCCAGCTCACCACCAGGTGGTGATCAGTTGACAGCTCTGCCCCTCTCTTCACCCGAGTGTCCAAGACATCCGTCGGGAGGTAAGATAAAACAACCACAAAGTCGATCATTGACCTCCGGCCTAGGGTGTCCTGGTGCCATGTGCACGGATGGACACCCTTATGCTTGAACATGGTGTTCGTTATGGACAAGCTGTGGCTAGCACAGAAGTCCAGTAACAGAACACCACTCGGGTTCAGATCGGGGGGGCCATTCCTCCCAATCACGCCCCTCCAGGTATCACTGTCGACGCCCACGTGAGCGTTGAAGTCCCCCAGTAGAACAACGGAGTCCCCAGTCAGAGCACTTTCCAGCACCCCTCCCAGAGACTCCAAGAAGGCCGGGTACTCTGCACTGCCGTTCGGCCCATAGGCACAGACAACAGTGAGAGACCTATCCCCGGCCCAAAGGTGCAGGGAAACGACCCTCTCGTTCACCAGGATAAACTCCAACACCTGGCGGCTAAGCTGGGGGGCTATAAGCAAGCCCACCCCAGCCCGCCGCCTCTCACCGTGGGCAACTCCAGAGTAGTGGAGAGTCCAGCCTGTCTCGAGGAGTAAGGTTCCAGAGCCCAAGCTGTGCGTGGAGGTGAGCCCGACTATCTCTAGCCGGTACCTCTCAACCTACCGCACAAGCTCGGGCTCCTTACCCAGCAGTGAGGTGACATTCCATGTCCCCAGGGCTAGTCTCCGTGTCCAGAGATCAGGTCGTCGGGGCCCTTGCCCTGGCCCTTGCCTTCGACTGCTGCCCGATCCACTGTGCCCTTTACGAATCCTCCTGCAGGTGGTGAGTCCAAGGGAGAGTAACATTTTTAAAAAAAATTTCGCCTTCAGTCACTGGAGTAACAAGCCCGGACTGCGCGTGTGTTTTATCTCCATCTTGGTATTTCAGATGCTGTTGAAAAATTATGGTTGTTTGGAGATTTTTGAAAAAACATTATTAACAAATATGCAGGTCTGGTGTTTTGTAATCAAAAAATGTGTCACCCTGTGCAGCAGTGTTTCACTGATGTGTTTTAATAGTTTCTGAACCACAATGAAAGTCTATGGCATGGACAAACAGGCTGGTCTAAGTTGGACACTGACAGACACTGACTGTGACACTTCACTGTTGGTTATTGTCTCTGTATGGGGACTGTTGAAAATGCTGTTGCTATAGAAAATGACTGGCTTTATGCTTTAAATTACTTAATATCTCTTTCAGTGTTCTTATGACAGTACTCAAGTCCAGATTTTTGGGACATGTGACTCGACTTAAGCACTGATGACTTAGATTTGAGCACTGTCTGCATTCAGACTTGGAAGTTGGAGACTTGGACTTCTTTGTTTTGTAATAGGTGATAATAATTTGGTTTAAGATATTGATATTAAAACCTGTTCACCCACACCGTGCTGTATCTGGCACACTTCAACTGAAGCCTACACTCCACCTTTCTATAAATGATTTTATGTATCAAATTGTTGAGTAGTATGGTGATGCAATACACTGTTAAAAGTGTGCAATATAAAATGGTGAGAACTGTGTTGTGTTTAATATAGATCTTGATGACTCTAACTCAGGTCATGGGGACTGGACTTGGACTCAGCTTGGACTCAACTCGGACTCGACTCATATTATTCTTTGGTGACTCAGACTTGAACACTGGACACTCGAGGCTCAACTCAGACTTGACGTTTAGTGACTGGACTACAAAAGTGTCTTATGGGCGTTGTCAGTATAGTTTCAAGTGACACTGGAAAAAGTGTGAGCCTATCCTTAAATAAGAAAATCAAAACAGAATATGCAGTATGTATTAATTATAATATACGCTGTCCCTGGTAGGCTAGTGGTTAAGGCGCAGCACTCTTGCCGCTGCGGCCCGGGTTCGAGTCAGGGTTGTGTCAGGAAGGGCATCTGGCGTAAAACACGTGCCAAATGTCAACATGCAAGTCGTCAGTGTGATGATTTGCTGTGGTGACCCCTAAACGGGAAAAGCTGAAAGTGACTTTCTTTCTATTAATTATAATATACAAGTTTTTCATATTGTCAGATGCTTATGTTAAGTGCTAATTGTTATGTGAGATATAAAATCTTTTTATGAACTCTTATTATAAAGGAGGTGGTGTTTTTCAGGTGCACACAGATGATGTTTGGTTGTACTGTAGTAGGGCTTAAAAACCATCACTATGTGCCTGAACCAGAAATTAACAAAAACTCCTGTGCAACTGACTTGACCAAATGAAATTAGTGAATGAAGTAGACTGACACTTATATATGTGTGTATGTTGTCAGGAACCTGCTCCCATGACAGAGGATCTGCTAGAAGAGCAGTCTGAAGTGTTGGCCAAACTGGGCACATCTGCTGAGGGCTCCCACCTCCGTGCCCGCATGCAGAGTGCCTGTCTGCTGTCTGACATGGAGTCCTTTAAGGTGAGAAAGGCAGAGGAATACTTGTTTAATCTACTCTCAGTGGGAGGGCTTTCGTCTGCCCCCTGAAATTCAATTGGTTGAATCATTAATTGAGAGAAGTGTCAACTGAGGCTCTTCTAGTCAAACCTTTGTTTTTATTTTATTATATTTGTCAGCCGGTGTGCATTACAGTAGGAGGTAGCCCCAGCCCCATTAGTTTGTCATTTGTCATCAGATCCCCCAAGCCTATTCGATGACCACGTCTGACCCATGTATTTGAAACACAAGAATGTCCTGTCCACCTGAGTTCCTTTAAAGTCAAATCAGTTTGATAGAACAAGTTGGCCATGAATCATAGGCTTCTCCTGTCCTCACATTGCAGTGTCCTTCAACAAGAAGATGAAGCCCTAAATTGCTCCTGATGTGTGTGTTGATGTGGAAGGGCAGATGTAGACTACTTCAGGAATGTACATTAATGTAACAATATTGGCTTTAAACAATGTTGAAAATGTTATACACAGTCTCTCGGATGTAGCTGTGCACACTCTGGGCCATGTGCACCTTGTCTATATTTTGTGCACCTTTGATTTGTTTTATATTTCATCTCATTTTTGTTTACTATGAACATGTTTATTGTCCCTTAACGCATCAATAATTAGATATTTTAAAGATTCTAATATCATAATTTGCTAACAGATACTGTATCAAAATAAAGCATGCAATACAGAATGATAAAAAGTTTACAGAGGCTGTAGAGCTGAAATTCCTAATCAGATCACAGTCTTCTTGTAATTATGAGATCTTTCCTTGTAATTATGTTTTTTTTATTTGAGTGTGAGACTTGGAAGGCATAATTACAGGCCATGTTCACCATTTCATTTTTCTTCCTATGAATGCATTTAGCTTCTGTAACAGTCTGAACATTACTTTCACACATTTTGCAGTGTTGAGTAATACCACTAACTGTCCAGCCTCAATATTTTTCACAAGATATATTTCCCAGCTCCCGCCTAAATGTTACGTCATTTGATTCATTACACAGATCTTGATAAATTATTTTTGAACCCATAGGGATAGACCTGGATGTATGGATAAAAGAGTTCTCACTTTCTCCATAGGCAGCTAACCCAGGCTGTGTCCTGGAGGACTTTGTTCGCTGGTACTCTCCCAGAGATTACATAGAGGAGGAGGTGATTGACGAGAAGGGTAACACAGTGGTCAAAGGCATGCTTAGTGCCAGGATGAAGATCCCAGGGAACATGTGGGTGGAGGCTTGGGAGACAGCCAGGGTTATACCTGCACGCCGCCAGAAAAGACTTTTTGATGACACTAAGGAGGCTGAAAAGGTAACTTTCAGTGCAGCTGGACAACACATCTACAGTACAACCAACACTGAAAGTCACTAACTGAAATAAGCTTATCAGTATGTTTAGTAGGAGGTTTCCCAGACACAGCAGACGTATGTGATGAAGAGCAGCAGAAAACAGGGGGAACTGTCTTTTCAGGTTCTGCACTACTTGGCGATGCTGAAGCCTGCAGAGCTGACCCGCCTTCTCCTGCCCTGCATACTCCATGCTGCTATTCTAAAGTTGAAGGAGGAAGGTGAGTCGCCATTGGTTTGTCAAAAACAGTAGAACTGATGGACTGTTGGAACTAACACACCACAACACGTAATGATTTTATGGATGACTAAACTGAACCAAGGCTTCCTCAGGCTCTCAGAGTACTTTAAATGCTGTTTGACAAACTCTAAGCAACTGTCATCTGCCTTTTACTCAAAGTGGCTTCTGTCTAGTCAGCTCTACCTTAAAGACCCGATTGATGGAGAGCTGCTGCCATGGTCGTCCTTCCAGCAGGTTCTCCATCTCTGCAGAGGACTTCTGAAGCTCTGTTAGAGTGACCAGTGGGTTCTTGGTCACCTCCGTGACCGAGGCCCCCCTTGCCCAGTTGCTCAGTTTGGTCCAATTAACAACTCGAGGAAGGGTCCTGTAGGTCTTTTTTCTGCAGGAAGTTGCTGACTTGTAACCTGGAGCTTCCCATAAGCTCAACATGTAGGAAAGTAGTAGTCGTAGTTGGCTCTACTTTGCTTTCCCACAGTATTTTGCCCTCTGTCAGTTCCTGTTTACATTAGAGCGGAACTGAGCTCCTCAGACGTGCACACACACACATAGCTGAGCAGAAATATGAAATCAACAATTACAATGTTCATTAATCATCATGTGTGCAAATCTGCCAGAGATGGAGACTGTATGGCTGTACTGTAACTTATCAAACACCTGTTGACTAAGCAGAACATAAACTTGCAAAAATGGGTCTTTGCCCCTTTACCCCTGGTCCACTCACTGAAGTCCCTGTTTTCTCTCTAAACCAGTATGAGTGAATGTTTGCACACTGTCTTTGTTATGCCAGTACTTGAGACACGTTGATACTGACATTTATCCAGTCACGGGCAACAGCCCTGTGAGCATCCACCACCTCCCCCTCTGATTACCTGGAACTTGATGATACTTTCTGCTGAGCGGTGCTGAAATATAACTCCTGGAAGTTGTCTCCAAAGCAGGCAGAGGGCAGTGGAAGTAAAAGCCTGAGACAAGGGGTACAAATTTAGTTATGGATTAGTAAATCCCTACAGTGTAAAAGACCTAGTGGTGGTTCCAAACATCTTTCATTTCACAGTTATTGGTGGCACTGGGAACACTTAAAGCTTTAGAAATGGTTTTATACCCTTGCCTGATTTGTGCATATGTGTCACAGAGGTCTATAGAGAGTTCCCTAAACTTGATTTTTATTTTGACATGCGGTGTGAATTATTGTGCCTGGGTGCAATAACTAATATTTCACATATTATGAATGTTATGAATGTACGAATCAGGGCTGCGTCAGGAAGGGCATCCAGCGTAAAACATGTGCCAAATGTCAACATGCGAGCCGTCAGTGTGACGATTCGCTGTGGCGACCCCTAAAACGGGAAAAGCTGAAAGTGACTTTCTTTCTATGTATATTAATATTTTAAAAATTATATACAGATTTTAAGTGAATGAAATCAAATGTCATTTAAAAAAGGCTGTCAACCCTAAAGAACAACTAAATGAGAAATATGAACATGGCTGCAGATTAATTAGTCTAGGCAAGCAATATAGTGTGTGCAGCAGGACTGTTGTAATTCTATTAGAGTCTAGTGTAGTCTGTTGAAACAATATTTTAAGGTGGGCTGTAACACACTGAGGTCTCAATGTTAATGAATCACCTGCTCACTGTTACTTATCTCTCCTCGTCTGCTTTTGATCCCTCCTCTAATAGAGTCAGTAGAAGACATTCCATCAGTCAGAAAACACATTCAGCAAGCTATAGCTCAAGCCAGCAAGCTGCTGCACCCCACCAGCCAAGACTTCAAGAAGTTAGAGGTCAGTGACAGGCTGGAGTGACCCCGAGGGGCACCGTACACTGGTGGCGAACTGACGCATCAACGCTTCAGGATACACTACTGTCCTATTTTCCTAGTGTTGACACGCATCAAAAGCATAAAATACTGAAGTACTCACCCATTTCGATAATTCCGCACTCAATTTGCAGCAGTCCCGGTTGTGTTACATGAGTCATGTGACGTGTCACATGACAAGCCGTGTCATGACGCAGCTCGTGTGCGGTGCCCTTAACTCTACATGCAGCTCATTCTTTCTAGAATGAGACAAGCCTTTCATTCTGTGTTCTGTAATTGTGTTGTGGTTGTAGTGCTGGCACAACAGAACCTGACAAAATGTCAGTTAACCGCTATTTTGGTGACTGTACAGTTGCTACAGGTAGCATTCAGACCTTCTGAACATTTTGTGTTGTAGATTTTATTTTGAATGAATAAAGACATTTTGAGCACCCGCAGACAAACAGTAGTATGACTCATTACACGCAGGTGATCTACGTAACACAATCCAGTGCAACACTGTAGTCACTCAGAGAGCCTTATCCACATCTCATTTGTCTGTCAAGTGTTTCTAAATATATGTTGCTTCAAAATTATCATAAAAGCCAAACCCAAGTAAATATTTGTTTTGGTCAGAAGTTTTTACAATAAAAATAAGATTATCAATCTGTTGAAACACGTGACGTGAATAATATCACAGAAAACACAGCAAAGTGAAATCCTCATTCAGACCAAAAGCCATTAAAGTGTTCAGCTCATGGATCCAAACACACTTTTAAATGTAACACTTCCTTTGCAATAACTAAAATCATCCCAACACTTATGGACAGCAGTCTACTTGTTAATACTTGTGAAATTGCTCCAGTTTCTGTTCTGACAGTATGTATGTGTGACATTTCTTTATCTTGTAGGATTTCATTAACCAGTTGATGGCCATGGAAGCAGTCATCACCCAAGCTCGCTCGCTCAAGTCCAAGTTTGCCATCAGTGAGAGTGAGAGTGCAGATGAACTAAAAAAGTAAGTTGCACATAGTTTTATTTGACCAAATGGTTATGCAGTGGGGGGTGCTCCTGGAGTATGGGGTCCGGGGCCCTTTGCTAAGGTCTGTCCGGTCCCTGTACGACTGGAGCAGGAGTAAGGCAGTAAGTCAGACTTGTTTCCAGTGCATGTTGGACTCTGGCAGGGTGGCCCTTTGTCACCAGTTCTGTTCATTATTTTTATGGACAGAATTTCTAGGCGCAGCCAGGGGCTGGAGGAAGTCCGGTTTGGGGACCACAGGATCTCGTCTCTGCTTTTTGCAGATGACGTTGTCCTGTTGGCTCCATCAAACCAGGACCTTCACCGTGCACTGGGACAGTTTGCAGCCGAGTGCGATCCAGCTGGGATGGGAATCAGCACCTCCAAGTCGAGTTCTCAGTCAGAAAAGGGTGGCTTGTTCCCTTCAGGTTGGTGGAGAGCTCCTGCCTCAAGTGGAGGAGTTCAAATATCTTGGGGTCTTGTTTATGAGTGAGGGAAGGATGGAATGGGAGATTGACAGGCGGATCGGTGCAGCTTCTGCAGTAATGCGGTCGATGTACCAGTCTGTCGTGGTGAAGAAGGAGCTGAGCTGTAAGGCGAAGCTCTCAACTTACTGGTCGATCTACGTTTCCATTCTCACCTATGGTCATGAGCTTTGGGTCATAACCGAAAGGGCAAGATCCCGGATACAGGCGGCTGAAATGAGCTTTCTCCGCAGGGTGGCTGGGCGCACCTTTAGAGATAGGGTGAGGAGCTTGGTCACTCGGGAGGAGCTCAGAGTAGAACCGCTGCTCCTCGACATCAAGAGGAGCCAGCTGAGGTGGCTCGGGCATCTGTTTCGGATGCCTCCTGGGCGCCTTCCTGGGGAGGTGTTCTGGGCATGTCTCAGTGCAGGAGGAGGCCCCAGGGAAGACCTAGGACACGCTGGAGGGACAATGTCTTTCGGCTGGCCAGGGGACGCCTCGGCCTTTCCCAGGAGCTGGACGAAGTGTCTGGAGAGAGGGAAGTCTGGGCATCTCTGCTTAGACTGCTGCCCCCGTGACCTGGTTCTGGATAGGTGGAAGAAGATGGATGGGTTATGCAACTCTGTGAAGAAGGGTCTGCTGTTTGAGGGACATCTTAATGACTGCACCAGTGCAGGCTGAACTCATATGTGATGTCTTTCTCCAGGTTTGTGAGCTTGCTGCTGGAAGAACCAGAGGTGGTGGTGATCGGAGCTGGCCAGGGTCCAACTGGCAGCATCATCCACAGGCTGTTTGTCAATGCTCAGAGGGTAAGTAGCGTGTCACTCTGTCTCTTTTTCTCTCTCTCTCTCTCTTGCCCCTGCTTCCTATGACAATCAACGGTGGATGGTTATCTCATTATATGGTAGCCTATCATAGTTTTGCTGCATATATGTGTGTGTCTCCTCAAACCCTGTTGAGAAATAATTATGTGGTTTTTCTTTTTGTTATACATTTCCTCCATTCGACTGTGTTTTTCTGTTGTTTCTCCCCCTGCTGCATGCGTCAAGCTGGCTGACTTCACCAGTGATGAGGTAACCACAAGCAATGAGACTTTTCCTCCCAGCTACCCATATACCACAATCTGTCTAGAGTCCCTCACTATTATTCCAACAACAAACACACACAGAAATACATAAGTATATATAAGTGGCCTCCAGAAGTCTCTGTGTATTACAGGGAACCAATGTCATTCATTAGTTAAAAATAATCCTGTTCTTCTCCTAAATTATATTTACTGATAAAGTTTTAAAGTGCCCATGGCATGCTCATTCTGCTCGTTTGCAGCCATTTAATGTTTAATCTTGGGTACCTCTAGATTATTTTGGCAGAATATCATTTTTTCAGAATAATAAAACCAAAAAGCCTCTCCCTAAAAACAAGTGCATAGTTCATGAACATGTACAATTCCTGCTGCCGGTGTTGTCACAAGTAGACACAACAACAAACTGCAACAGCATTAATTAATTTGAGTTTCTCCTCCATAGATACAGTAGGTAAATAATGGTATATGAGCCAATGAAAAGAGATATGTAACATTTTAAACAAAGCAGGTAATTGAGAAACCTCATATTTTAACTGGCATAATGCAGACAGTAACTTCTCCAGCCTTAAAATTCTCTCTAACAAGGTATTAACAGACATGCAACATGTGTTTTTTAAACTTACCGTTAAGTCCCACCGAGTAGTGGAAACAAGACTTCCTTTCAAGCTGCTCCAAGGTCGGTAAATCCAACTGGTGGTCGCTGCGTCTTCCCCCACATGACCACATACAAGATTCAAGATTTTTATTTGCTATTTATGCATAAACTGACCGTCTAGGCATATAGGAATTCTTGTACAGCTCTCCTTTGGAGTCAGGTAAGGAATCAAAAGCCAGAAAGAACACTGTAACAAAAAGTTACACAAGGGCGACAAAGTATTAAAACACAATACACAAAAATAGGGTAATAGTATTTCCCACAGTGACCTTCAAACATTGCACTTAGTGATTCACATGGTGGAGTTGGATATGTCATTACACTTGATGAGGTAGTGAGGGGTTATTGCGTATGTCTAGTAAGGGGTTATTGCACATATATTCTCACATTTTCGTATTTGCCATCAGTCTTACTGCGGCATGGAAAACGCTGTTGTAAAGTCTAGTTCTGTGTGTGATGATACTGTATGCTCTGCTGTGCCTGAGGCTGTAGGTGCAGTTTTTGTGTCTGAGCAGAGAGTGAGCTGGGTGGCGTGGATTTCTGATTTATGTTTTCTGCCCTTTTACAACAGCGCTGTGTGCATAGTGTGTCCATAGCAGGCAGTTCAGTCCTAGTGATCCTCTCTGCAATCTTTATGACCTTTTGAAGAGCCTTCCTCTCTGCCTGTGTGGTGTTACCATACCAGACTGTGATGCCAGTAGTGAGGATGCTCTCTACCAGTCCTCTATAAGCCTAGGTGAGAGGGTGATGGTACAACCCAGCTTTTCTGAGCCGCCTGATGAAGTATAGCTGCTGCTGGGCTTTCTTCACTGTGGCAGCTGTGTTCAGTGACCAGCTCAGGTCAGATGTCACCTGCAGGCCCAGGAACTTGTGGCTGTCAGCCCTCTCCACCTCAGTCCCTTTGATGGTCAGAGGCAGCAGAGGGGAGGGGTTCTTTCGGAAGTCTTCTATTATTTCTTTTGTCTTGTTTATATTGAGGATGAGGTCATTCTCCTCTCCATAAACGACAATGTTGTTCACCAAGCTTTTGTAACCCGACTCGTCTCCCCCCCTTGATAAGGCCCAGGATGATGGTGTCATCAGCATATTTAATGATGATGGTGTTGTCATGGTTGGAGACACAGTTGTGGGTGTACAGGGTGAAGAGTTTGGGGCTGAGACAGCAGCCTTGCGGTGAGCCTGTGCTGATTGCGAGCTCAGCAGACACCCACCCTCCCATTCTGACTACCTGTGGTCTTTCAGTCAGAAAGTCCAGAATCCAGTTACGGGTGGGAGTTGGGACACCAAGGTCTGTCATCTTCCCAATCAGCCTGCGTGGGCGAATGGTGTTGAATGCAGAACTGTAATCCAAGAAGAGCATCCTAGCATACGTACTGCTGTTGTCCAGGTGTTTCGGGGTGTGGAGTAAAGCCAGAGGCGTCGCATCATCCACTGATTTGTTGGGGCGGTAGGCAAACTGGAGGGGGTCTACAGTGTCTGGGACCATGTGGTTAGCGTGTGTGAGGCCCAGTTTTTCTAAGCACTTCATGGTGACTGATGTGAGTGCCACTGGCCTGAAGTCATTCAGAGTGGATGTGTCTGATGTCTTACGGACCAGTATGATAATGGATTTTTTTGAAAATGCGAGGGACTGCTGCTTGGGTTAAAGACAGGTTCAAGATGTCTGTATACACACTAGCTAGTTGATCCCCACAGGCTCTCAACACTCTAAGGGGGGACACTGTGGTCCCACCGCCTTATGGGGGTTTACCTGTTTCAGGGCCTTCAGAACCTGTGTGTGCGTTACCTGAAAAGCATCCTGGGGGGCTGTGTTTGTTGATTTGTTCCTGTAGTTTGTGACTGCCGGAATCCACCCTGCTACATACTGTGCGTGTTGTTATTCATATAGTACAGGGGTTCCCACACTTTTTCGCCTTGTGAGCTACTTTTCAAATGACCAAGTCAAAATGATCAACCTACATGTGTGCGCACGCACACACACAAAATATATGTACAGTATGAGCATCGTAGTTTTTATGAACAGTCTGAAAGTGCCGCTCCACATTTCCCTTCTTCAGAATAGTGATGGTAGATTG